CCCCGCCCCCCCCCGTCTCCTCACTTTCCTTCGACAACAGGTCCATTAAAGTCAATTCCAATTATCTGTACTATATGACCTTTTTTCAAGCCTGTCACTGATGCGGGCCACGGTACCCCCGTGCAGCACGGCCAATGTAAGAGACAAGCAATTACGTCCACATTTTAAATACGATTTATATTTCACCAAAAGACTGAAGAGACGTAAAGGTTCCAGATGTGAGGGAGTCACATGACTTTACAACCAGACACATGTTTATCCTGTGCTTTTTGGCCCGTTTATAGCACATACCAACTTTGATAAGTAGGTTGCGTTACACAGAGGAAACAGATTTGATTTCCTTTCTGTTTCACGGCCACATTTAACAACGCTGCGTCACTGACCCTCACTTTAACGGCTCTCATACATCACGGTTGTTCTTAGGTGACAGTCACAAGTCACATGTGCTTCAGGGAACGGAGAGACACATTTGAAATCAAAAGTCATCAGAATGATGGGACAGGGAAAACTAAATCTAAACCAGCTATGACTCAATCACAGCGTCGGGAGGAGGAGGAGACCATCCTGATCCCCCCAGATGACTGTGTGCCATCCCTGCTGTGGTGTAGTGGCTCTAACTCACCCCTCACTCACCCCTCACTCACACGGAGAGGGAGTTTTGGGTAAAGGATGAAAGACGGAGGAAAAGACGAGTTTATAGGACGCAGATAAACACCGAACACAAGCAGAGTGACTGCAGCTGTGAGTTCAACATTGGCTCCGACTGGGATCAACAAGAACCAGAGAAGAGTTGAAACGCAATGCGATGAGGCAAGAGGACATGAATGGGTCAGAGGAGATTAAAGATCTGAGAACCCAACAGTCATAGAGTCCAGACATCTGCACGTCCAGACAATAATCCAGAGACTCTGCAGCTATATCCATGATCAGATAAAGGTTCCAACAGGTACTTTAGAGCAAAAAATAGAAATAGATCAAAAGTAGCAATAATTGGCTACACTCACGGTTCTGTTCTTCTTCTTCGCTGGTGAAGCACTGGCTGAAGAGGCAGTACATGGTTTGGCAGAAGTTGTCCAGGAGCGACTTGGGAGAAACCAGTCGCCAGCTGGACTGTGGCACTCTGTCAGGCTCTTCTGTTAAACAGTCCCAGATGTTCTGGATCGTCTCTGGAAGCTCTTGCTGGAACACCTGGACATGAAGAGACTATTATAAAAAAAAACACGTTTCTGTAGCTGTGGTCTAATTATTGACCTAATTCAGTTTGGAGCCTGGAAAATGAGTACATGCCAAAATACACTGATAAAAACTACCACTTATTTGTACTTTTAGCTGTGTATCGGAAACTCTGGAGAAATCCATTTTGCGTGACAGGATGACTGTAAGTCCTGTCACCGTTTACAGTTAAAGAAGTGTGTGAAGAATCGGGGAGTTAATGGAGCGCGTGTAGGGCCCAAACCAGAGGCAGCTGCTGTGTGACCTCTGGGCCACCGCTGGTATCGCATTAGAAACTGTGTGTTGCTGTGATGGACACTGGAACATAGCTGTGGGCTACTTAAGTAAATCACTGTTGCCAAAAACAGTCGGCAGCTGCATTTAAAAAGAAAAAAAAAAAAGTTTCCTTAGACTGGGGTTATGCAAAGAGGAAGTCACTCATCAATTCTGTGTCGTAGTCGAGTGAAAATTCCAAAGGCCGAATGTTTCTGTTTCAGTTGTTGTTGGGAAACACATGTTGGACACTGTGAGTCCAAAAGAACAGCGTCGGAGGACGTGGTTATGGATTGATTGTTTAAGGTGACACTGCTGCAAAGGCTTAAACTGTATATATATATAACTGTATATATTGTGTCCATATGTCTCTAACATATGGATATAAATTGTCTCCACGTACTGGTCCCGTGAATTCTACAGATTTCTAGATGAACATTTGTCAGCCCTTTCTGGAGAAAATTGAGAAAACGTGGCTTTAAAAAAGTCAAATATATGTGCGTGACAGGCCTTTCCTCATCTGTTTGTATTCAAAATATTTGAATGGTTGCAAAAGGGATGACAACACAGACTCTGTTAGCAGAGCATTTTATATATATCATTTTCTATCATTTTATAAGTCCAAACATATGTATATAAACATATACAAATATATGTATATATACACGCACACATATATAATATATATATACACATATATTATATATATAAATATATATCTACATATATGTAACCAAATATACATAAATTGACTATTTTAAATAATTTTGATAATTGATATTATCTAAATTTAGAGCATATTTTCCCAGGTTACCTCTGACATTCCCGAGCATCGGTACAGATGCTACGCCTCGGTCTTACCTCAGCTGGATGGGACTGCACAAAGACTCCCTCCGCATCCCTGAAGCGTCGCTCCAGCTCCGCCGCGTACGGACGAGAGGGGTGTCTGTCAGGCATGACCCGGATGATCTGGAATGCACATTTATTTTTTTATAGGAAACGCATAGTAGATAAAATGAATTCATTTAAAACTAATGTGCTTCACTCTGGCTTCCAAATGCACAGTTTCCCACGGGATGGAAAAACAGCCAGGACCTCATGACGGACCACAGTGGCAACACTAATCTGCAGCATACCGGGCCCCACTCTCATGTCAAGGGCTTATAGGTAAAAGGTGGACCTTGTTTTCAGGCTAACAAAGTTAACTTACAGTAGCTCACAAGTTCTCAGGCGAACACAGAGCTCTCCGAGAACTCGTACGGACAAAACTCAGGAGGTCCGTTTATGAACGGAGGTTAAACAACAAATTGACTGATTTTACCTCCAGATTAAAAGGGGTTCCAAAAAAACGGGTTATTTGAGTTAGATTTTGAATCACGCCAACCTCCGATGGTCCACTTCAGTTACCTGATCGTTGAAGGTTTTATTTACACTCAATTTCCTGTAAAAGAAAACAAGGTTTTCCTTGTTGAAAAAGCCGCAGCCGTCCACCCAGTGGCTGTGATGGACTGGACAACTATAACCTGCCTGAGCCTGTCAGCAGCTGGGATTAGCTTCATCACGCCTCAACACTTAACCTTGGAGTCCATTTTTTGTTTTGTTTAACAAACATTCGCGCCATCGTCCAATACATGAATATCATGTCAGACCTAAAGCCGGTGCACCTGTGGATTTGTCAGTTCACTGCAGCACATGCCATGCGAGACATCCACTAATGAGAGAGCCAAAATTTATCAAATTTCATCCACGGGCTGCTGCACGCTGCAAACTCAGGCAGGGAGCAGCACACGAGCTAACATTCTTGCGTGTGACTGTGCAGTGATCTCATTGCAGGGGTTGACTCTCTAGCATTAACTTAGAGAGTATGTTTTCAATCTTGTTAAACCCATGAGGAGTTAATGGGTGGTCCGACGGTCCTGCCTTTCAACAAGCAGGATGTTGATCTGGGTGTTGCAATTTGTCTCTGAGGGGTTTTCTCCCGCAGTCATTGTCGAGCGATTAAAGAGGCTGTCATCTGTGATGTCTGTTGTGCGTGCATAAACGGGTTTGGAAACATCTATCCTCTCGTTGACATGTAACCAGGTCAACCAGAGCTGGATAACAGGAGGGGAAGAAAATCCATCACGCAAGAAAAACAACAATGAAAAAGGAGTCCAATTTACCCACGATTGAAAACGTTGAGGCACCAACCCTATCCTTCACATAATCTTTCAGCTGATCCCCAGTGTAGCCCGAGACCTACTCTGAACCCATCTGTCACTCAGACTGCACAACTCACCAACTGTCTTGGCCTGCACCTAACTCACATACTCTTTTGCCACATCCTTTTCTTTGTAACATGCTAAACATGGACTTGATGAACCTAAACCACGGTATGGTTTGATATGCAATTCTTGAACCAGTAAACGTTCAATAAACATTAGTGCCAAGAGTTTTAACGCCTGGTTTGACAGTGATTTGATCTGGTTGGTTTGATCTGCAGCGCGCAGCTGTGAGCTACGTGCCACTTCTTGTGTTTCAACATCACGTGATCCGTGGACTATGCAAGTCATACCTTTCAGCTTTTAGCATTTTATGACCGCCACTCAACATGACGGACATGTTTATAGTGGCATTCAACACCCGCTTTGTCTGCTTGAAAAACACACCAAAGGCGACACTAAGTGAAGAACAAGCTGTAGGTTTTGTCCCGCTCTCCCTCACGTGTCCCTTGTGTCTCTGGACGTCTCGTGTGTCGTACAGTGTGGTGTAGAGATTGCATTTAATTGCATCCAGGAAAATTGAAAAAAAAAAAAAAAAGGAATAACCTCATTGGTCGTCATTTTAATTACCTTTTTTAATACACCCTGGTTGACCTGGAACCACAGTCTCTGGAGAACCAGCTCGTCCAAGCCCTGCATCTGTGCCCTCTGAGGAGAACAAATGGACAAGGATGAGGAACAGGGGCGTTTTAGTGGCACAAATACAAACTGTGAAGACACTGTTTGGGTTCTTCTGGTATTCCCACTCCCTTCCATGAAAGTGTGTCTCAGGACTTATTACTGTGGTTAAAAGTGTTTTTCTTTCTACAGCTGTATTACACCTACGTTTTGAACAGTTACTGTAACCCGATTACGTCTGTGTAGGAAAAATACCCAGCAGCCACTTAGTCTACGTTACAATCCAACATCAACAACATTCTTCAACGTTGTCGTAACTAGACTTTTACTCTCGGCCCTAAGTTTTGTAAAGTCACTCAACTAAAATTCAATTGGCTGGTACGGTAGTGTCACATGGGGGCGCCCCACTAGCTGTAATCACAGGAGTCAAGTGTCAATATTGCCCATTGGGGTATGTTTGAGGCAATGCAGACTAGTTTTCTTTAGGCCAAAACCAAGAAGTCCTTTAAACCTTTCATGTTGATATGAAAACCTCAGTTTAAGATATTATCTCCAGCATGTCTTCAGACAGGAAACATGAGCACAGCCAATAAATCTGGCTTCACTCCAAGCACAGACACTCATCATTCACTTCTCCTCTGTTACCATTCGGCTGATGTTTGACAGCTTGAAGACTTCCTTCTGATGAACTCTGATGGTGTAGTTGATGGGGAAGTTATGCTTCTGAAACACAAGGAGGGAAAACCTGGTCTGATTTTATGCACATTTATCACAAGGCTGTTTATTTGGTAAAGCAGCTGGAAAGAAATGCAAGAAAACGGTGATTAAAACGGTGGTAAAGCAGCATCTTTGTCTGTCCAATCACGAAATCATTGTGTTAACAGCAGATCTGCTGCAACAGGCTGCCCCCTGGAGGCACCAAGTATGGCAGGCACTCTAACCGCTACACCAGGGAACCATGAACTGAAGTAACAATAATTCCTTGTCAAAAGAACTCAAGGAGATTCTTCATCTCATACAGTTCATGCCGTACAAACGTGACATCATGCTCTCACCATGTACCGCCGCCTGTGGCTGAGGCTGACGTTGAGCGTCTTTAAGGGGGTGCACATGCTGGACGGCGTGAGGTTCATCAGAACAGGTTCAATCACACAAAGGGCTGCAGAGACAACAGAACAACAGGACATGGATTAAGTCATATTTTCCCAACAGCCCTGAACAAGAAGAAGAAGAGGAAGAAGAAGAGGAAGAATGAGATGGTGGAATTATTGAACAGAGGTTGTTGGAGTCAGAGGGACCAGGAAACGTTGTTTCCCAGTAGAACTGATACATTTGGGAGGACGTGGGGAAGGAGAAGGAAACCAAGCAGAAAGGGAGACATCGAGGAGGACAGGACATGGAGATCAGCCTACAGGAAGAAGATGGAAAAGAAGATCATACAGGAAGGTGTAGAGAAGACAAGGAGACGGTGGGACCTAATGGGATCCAAAGAAGAAAACGCTTTAGATCAGCAGCCTAACGAAGATGAAGATAGAGGAGAAGAGGGCATTTAAGAACATGGAGGTGAAGAAAAAGATGATGACAAACAAGACAAAAAGAAAAAAAAGCTAAGAAGAGAAGATAAAGGACAACGTTCTGAAAGGAAAGAGCGTGAACTCAACAGTTTTGTCCATTTCTTTTACACGGTGCTGAAAAATAACTGTGTTCATCTTCTCATCTGCGACACTAATGGACTTTCGCCCACATTTCTAGGAGAGCCTTCAGGTTCTAGAATACCTGGTCTGTGTGTCAGGTCCATACCTGGTGTTCAATCCTCCTGTTAACAAACCTCACACGCTCTATTAGCTCCACTCAGCACTCCACTCAGGCCAATATTTTGACAGCGGTCTGACATCCTGTTGTGTTGATCCCATCATTCTGGTGTCAGTCTCTCTGAGACACGCTCTCCTAAGCTCCACACTCACAACACCTTCACGCCTCGTAATTGCTCCTGCAGCTGCCCCGAGTTGCTCTGCACCGTCACCGTCTCCCTGCCCCACCCTCTGAACCCCCTCCACCGCCCACNNNCTGACGATATGTGGAGGACACGTCTGAGATGACATTAGTCAATTCAAGGAGAGGCTCATGGAGATTCCACACACATCTGATTAGCTTTAATGACCCCTCCGGGAGACAAGGGGGGGTCGTGTGTGGGGGGGGGGGTCGGAACCTAACCCTAGGTCACATGCCAAATAATAAGATTGAAAAATGACCCCCCGTGGTTCAAAAGGTCCAGTGTTGTTTATACAAGGTCAAATGTCAAACGTAAAGATGAGCAGAGAGGAAGTGAAAGCGGAGCAGGCTGAAAGATTTAATCATGCAGAAAAACATTTAGGAAAAATAGCTTTAAATTGTTTCTTAATGGTTAACAGTTTCGACCAATCACACCTTGGGTCTGTTCACAGTGAGGATTAACCTAATCCTGAGGAAAGACCAGGGATCAAACCAGTGACCTCTCTGTAAGGCAGGCATGTTATTGGTGCCTGCTCCACAGTCATTACATAAAAGCAATCTGTGTTCACCAAAAGGGACCACAGAGGTGGTTTGTACCGGTCTGTAATAGTATTTCAATTTGGGGGGGAGGGAGGGTTTGACCCCCTTCCTTAACTACCAGGCCACCACTGCCCCACTATATCGGTATCAGTCAATATTGGAATCAAAAATCAAGTGTTTGGACCATATCAGCTATCGGCAAAAAGTTAATATCGGACATCCCTATTTGAGAGTTTAGGTTTATTCTCGCACATTTTATTTAAATTATTTTACCCAGTATTCTACATCCAACCAGTACTGAACTAACCCACCAGTCACAGTTTATTTTGAACCTCGTTCTGTGTGCGTGTGACTCTCTCCCAGCAGACAGCTCATCCGTCTGACTGGCTGCGTCTCATTCCTCTGGTGTTATTAGTTTTTCTGACAGCTAACCTTAACAGAACTTCTCCTCTTGTCCACATCAGTTGTCGTTGTGACCCGGAGTGACATGTCAGACATTAAAAGTTTGTTTTTCTTTTCCACTCGCTATGGCTCTATTTTCCCTCCGGCATCGGGACACGTCACCCCGGTGGTACCAAACTGCAGCGTGTTGATGTGGGATAAGGAAACACGTGCGGTCGCTGGTCCTACTGTTTACAGACGTGATCGCAGAGACATGTGGTTCTGGGCTGTATAATTGGTTCTTTACAGAAACCTTCGCTCCAAAATGAGTTCATTTCCCGAGTGGTTGACAGAGGGAATAACTCTGCACTCAAACATTTTCTTACTTCTGTTTACTGGCTCCGCTGCCTCCCTGGGCCTTACACCACTGATTTCTATCATCACTACAGCAGCTGAACCCACAGTCATTGGACAGATTGGTCCAATAGGAGCAGACCAAGGTGAGGTTCTGTTTCCTGTTTTCTGCTTCAAGAACTAAATTTTTTAGAGTTACATTCAAATGTTTAACACAATTTCAAAACACAGTTTTGTCTACGAGGGCATCCCAGGTGTCAAAGGGCAAGGGATGGGGTACATCCTGGACCAGTCTATCACAGGATGACTTGTAGAACCAAACACCTCTGGACAATTTCAAGTGAACAACNCAATGGGAGGCGGGGGCAGCATCGTATGATTATTTTTCTTTCTTCCTTTAACTATTGCCCTCATGTATTCACTTGACTGCTGTCCTGTCATCAGTGACCCCCCACCCCCAAAAAAATCCCAAACTCTGAGAGTTTTAAAACAAATATATAAAAAGCACCTGCTCATCCGGCCACGTCCTCAGTTTGAAATTAAGTTAGCCGTTGAGCCAAGCTGTGTTTTTACGAACACGGTCTAATCCACCGTCTGTGTTTTAACAAACCTAATCAAATCCACCTGGCCCACCGCCTTTCAAAACACTGTTTCCTGGGTCTGCGGCCGTGAGTGAGTCGAGCCCCCTGACCTAATATCAGTCAGTTCAACCTCGCGCCCTTCAGGGGGCGTATCCATAAATAATCCAAAGACTGATTTAAACCTTCTTAAAAGGATGTTCCTTTGGACATCTGTGAACACGACAGATAATCTAAGAAATCTTACAGAAATCTCAACTTTTTTGGCAGCTTGGAAGGGGCTAATTTTTTTTGATACTTTTTTGCCAAAGTTACGTTTTTTCTTGCTAACCTGCAACAATACCACACTTAACATTTACGAAGAAAATTCAAACTCGATCCAACTTGTTATTGTATGTCACATTTTCTCAACCAAACTACAAAGTGACTTAGATATTTATCTACACCTACGTTAGCTACACAGGAAAATGTGAAAAACAACGTTGAGAAAATTTGGGATGATTTCTTGGAAAAGTTTTTTCTCTCTGATTTTTGCAATATTTTTGCTGTTGCCAAACTGGGGGAGGGGGAGAGATGTCTGCTGCTGTTGCTGTTTATTTTTCACCATCTGGAAGTACGTTTTGTGTAAAGAGTTCATAAAGTGACAGCACTCTTATGACGAAGTACGTACAAATATGAGAAGAAAGGCCGTTTCTTCTGCTTCTCTTCTTTTTAGAGCTGCTTCCTTTTTATCGTCAGGCGCCAACATCTCACAGTTCATCATTATCGATGTTATTGATGATGGTATTGCTCATGATTCTACACTTGTACATCATTAGTGTCGGGTGTTACGTCCCTGCGGTTTGGTACAATGTGGGTTTGTTTAGAAAAAAAACACAGTCAAAGTCATTTTTGTGGTTTGATCCCAGCAGATCAAAGCCTTTGATGTGGCGCAGGAGTCAGTGAGCATCTACAGCAATTGGCTCTAGCAAGCAAAGCAAGCAAATGGCTCATAAAAACAATATTTCTGTATCTGATCCTGCGAATTGACATTTAACATACGGCTAGTTTTACAGGTGTCGGGGTTTTCTTCTTTTCTTCACCTTTCTGATTTATTCATGTTTAATTAAATATAATCTTATAAAAATATCCTGAAGTTTGAGGTTCAGGATATTTATAAAATTCATCAAGCAGGCTGAATTGAACACAATAGCCGGTTAGATCTGATTATTTTCATTGGTTTCGTTTATGATCACAAAAACTGTTGTAAAAATTTGAATAATCAATCAAAAGGTTGTTCTTCAATCAGCCAATCAAATGTTTGTGAAGTTTTCTTTTAGCGCATGTCACGAGCAGTTTTAAAATGTGCCACTAATTCTTGGTAAAGCCCAGAACAAACTATGGGATGTTCCAATATCGTAAAGTTAAAAAAAAAGAATATTAGTAATTTTCCTGAACTCTCTCTGTTTGGACGATATCGGCAAAAGTTAACAATAATCAAACATCCCTAATTCAGACCAAGGAATCCAGGAGAGACCAGGAAGAAGACCACTTTCGGTCGGCATGATTGGGATCTCAACGGCATTCCGCACAAAAGACAACTAATTTTTTCATCTTTACTCCAGGACATATTCAGGCAGACACTGTGAAAGCGAACCATAACATTATTCTTTGAACACGGTTCCTCTGTCTTATATTTTGGGGTCCTACCAGTAGGAAGTGCAACATAAAGAGCGAGACACTGTAATCTCGTAATGAGACATGCACACCTTGGGCCGAGGTGAGAACAGAGCTGCTTTTCTTAAAGACCACTGTAGAACCCTGTAGAAGCACAACTCTGAGATTATTATAGAGCAGCGCTGCAATCAAAAAGCCAAAGGCTCCTATTTCTCACAACGGGGGAAAATGGATGGTGTCATTTAGGATAACATACTGCAAAACATAATTAAAGTGCTTGAAATTCTGTCGAAGAATGTTTCGCAGCATCCCCTAAACTTAGGAACAGTCTGCACGGGTTGTAAGTGTGGGATTTTACCGACGCCGCTGTGAAAAGAAACACGAAAACACAAAGAATAAACGCAACAGAATGTTTACATTTTCAAAGGTCTCTACTGTGGTCACTCCAAGATAAATTGTAGTCCAGGCTGTTTTGGTTGCGGAAAGTTTCTGTAAACATCGGGTTTGATAAACTGTTTGGTTTTTATTGTTCGTTTTTTTCTTTTTCTTTTTTTTTGGCATTCCACACAACATACTTTTTTGTTTTGCTCTGTTTCTCTTTTCTATAAAATCGAACTGTTAAGTCTTAAGTGTGTGAATAGAAGACACTGACACAATTAAAAACTGATATCCTGTCCTGGCACTCCATACACATGGCTAATGGCTAAGCTAACATTGTTAGGTTTTGATTGATTTTTAGCTATCACGTTGGCAAGGAAGACCATCCGTTCACAGACTTCTAGATTAGATTTTCTTTATATTAGCATGATTCGGTAATATTTGAAAGAATCGTTATCGGTTTTTCCTCCGATAATTAAAAACCCGATACCACAATGCCTGGATTTCGCCACATTGTGTTCCCTAAAATAGTTCTGGGAAAAAACAACTGTAAATGAAAGTGAAAGCCACTAGATGGCAGCATTGCTGGTCATTTTATTAATTTATTTTAATAATCAGGGGATTGTATGGAGAATGCTGGTGTCAGGTTTGAACAAAGAAATAAATAAAAATATTACTACAGGTATATTGGTATCGGTTGATATCGTAATTGGAAATTAAGTGTTTGGACAATATTGGCATATCGGATATCGGCAAAAGGTTAATATCGGGCATCCCTAGTTTTAAAGGCAGCTTCCTTTCGTCCCTGGTGGACTGATGTTTACATAAAAAGGCTGTACAGTACAGTG